TCTCTCTCTCTCTCTCTCTCTTGTGAAGTCCGCATGCAGGTCTCCTGGCCGAGTGATAAGAAACTGCGCCGGGGCCCCATAGAAATTAGCTCGGCGTTCTGTGGCAAGCCAGCTGGCTCTCTCGCTTGCGCTGATCTGCAAGCACCCAAGGGGACATCCGCGCGGGATACCCGCACCCCGGTTTGCAACAGTCATTTGCGAGCCCTTGTTGCCAACTCCATTCTTTTCCAGGCTGTGCAACACGGGCGACCTCCTTCGTGGTGAGGACATGAGATAGTGTTTAGGATTGCACTTGACCAGCAGGGAAGTGCCGCCATCGATGGATGTCCTGCAGCTTTTGCAGCTCTAGTTCATTGGCCCGTAAATTGTTGGGCCCTGCTCCAGCACTCCATACTGTTGTAGCCAGTCACGGCCAGCCAGGAGCAGTTAGCAAAATTGTTGAGGCCTGCACGCACAAGCCGTAGATTCAGAGCACATCGTGACCCTACTTTCAATGCATTTGGCAGCTTTTATGAGATTTCCCCTGCTGGCAGCAGACATCGCTGCTCTCTGCAGGGTGAGGGCCCTTAGGGGTGCCTCTGTGTCACTCCAGCCCCGCACGATGGCCAGCGCAGCTGGGATCCCCACCTGGGAAAACGTGTACATCAACGGCCAGCGACACTGGCACCGTCTTGTGGGTAATCTAAGCATCTAACAGGAAGGGAGCCTCTTGAATTTTTGTTGCTTGTGGTGATATGGCACTTGGATGACGGCCAGGTGGAGTCGACCTGCCTCGCCGGAGAAGTTTTGCGATGTGATCGATTCCAACACTGGCAAGGCGACCAGCTTTGCCGTTTGGGAGCTGGTACTTCCACTCCCACGATGCAGGTTTGCGCGCGCGTGCCCGCTGGCGGTGGGCCCTCAGAGTAGCCAAGGGTCCGGGCCGTCTGTGCCAGCACCGAGTGGCAGCAAGGTGCAAAGGATGTGGAGAAGGCCGTTGCTGCGGCCCGCGAGGCGTTTCCTTCCTGGGCCAGGACCTCAGAACAAGCTGGCAGGACTACCAGACCAATGTCGCGGTTGCTAGACTTCGAGTGGCAGGGCACATCCAAAGCTGCAAGTCACCCCGCACACCTCAATCACAGACTGGCACAGACTTGCCTCCATTGCCAGCCCGCCATCCTGTGTCCGTGTCTGCGTAGAGGAAGAAGGGGCAGGTGGGTATAGCATCGGGACAGCCAGTGCTATGCAGTGCATCGTGCCGCAGCCAATGTATCCTTGCCTGCCAGACCAGACACAGCAGGACTTACCCCAGATACTGAGTGATGCGCGACGGCTTAATGTGAAAGCAAGGCAGAAAAGCCCCTCGACGAACGCAAGGCCTGCACGATTCAAGCATGCTCAGAGGTTCTGCAACTGCAGCGGTGCCAGCACAAGCAATATCTGCCTGGTTTACCTGTGGCTTGTGCCCCGTGCTCGGTCATTGCTTTACTGCTTTTGGAGGCGATCTTGCTCAAAGTCTTGGAGACGTGGCAGGGCAAGAAGGCGATAGCCCTGCAATCTGGAAGACCTCCCAGCCCTGCTTGTGATCTGATGCATTGTCGTGTGCAACCGCTCGGTACGCAAGCGTGCGACTTGAAGAGACCATTTGGGGATTCGCCCCCCCCAGGCTAAGGCCACGGAGTGGCTCTGCAAAGAGCTGGGCTGCACGGCAGCGTTTGCCAAGAACGTGCAGGCGCCCTTCAGGGCTTCGCTCTGCTTGGCTCTCTCGGGCCGTCGAAGAGGATCCATAACTGTGGCTAAGCAGCAGGTCAACATGGTTGACTTCCACCTCGGGACCTGTCTTCCCCTCACAATGAGCACGACACGAGAGATCGATGGCTTCCGTCGCCTAGGCTTGAAGCTTGTCGACATGGTCAAGTTTGAGGAGAGGATGGCATTCGGATCGCTGGCCTGACCCCCGGGTGCCCTGGGAGCGCCCCGCCTCGTCTTTGAAGCCCGACCCAGACTCAGGTTGTGCGCGAACCTATCGGCGTGGTTGGCTGCAGCCGGGCAGCAGTTTGTCAGTCTTGTCGAAGATCGAAGTGAGGACAACACCTACTACTCATCCCAATGTGCTTCCCGTCACATCTTCTGACAACCACAAGCAGTGAACCTGCTGGATAGGGCACGCTAGGGTCACCTTCGTTCTTAGCTCGCCTTAGACGACGCTGCTCCTATATTTCTTAGCCAACTGTTTCTTGAACAGTGGTTGCATTGTATCACGCCAGCATGAGGCATCACCCCATGGAACTATCCGCTGAACCAAATTGCCTGCTGCCAAGCGTTCGTGTGCTTCGGCACTGAAGTCTGAGTGCCCCTGGACGTCAGGCTGCTAAAGTCTTCCCAGCGATGTTGGTGGGTTGCACCATTGTTCTGAAGCCGAGCGAGGTGAGTGATCTGATGTGATGTGCATTCGGTGCAAGAGATGGCCAAGAGATGCTCAGACCACAACAGGTGACGCCTGTTTGTGCATACCTCCTTGCGGAGGCTGTGCATGAGGCCATCTGTTGAGGTGAGCATATTGACTTGGTGCTTTGCTCAACATTTGGGGGCAGGCCGGAGTTCCCGCAGGCGTGTTCAACATGCTGATGGGTGATGGACCCAACTGTGGAGAGGCTCCCGATCTCAACGCACGGAGGATGAAGCCAGACGGGATTCTCAAGTGTAGTTTCGGCCATGTAGGCTATTGCAGCCCATCCCGGAGTCGACATGGTGCCATCCCCAGCCTCCTTTGGAGTCGCCACTACGCCTGCTGGGGAGATCAGGTCAGCTTCACAGGCTCCACGCGTGCAGGCTGGGAAGTCCTTGCGGTGGCTGCCTGCCTTTCTTGAGCCCTCCAGGACCTCCGCCCTTTCACTTCACGATTGTTTTTGCTGCAGGCAAGCGGATCTCCGAGGTGGGCGCGCAGACCTTGAAAGTGGCCCGGTCCTCAGAAACTGCTCCAGAAGATGCTGAAAGCTGGATCCGCTTAGCCGGAAGGTCCGCACAGAGCTGGGTGGAAAGAGCGCTGCATTGCTGCTGGAGGCCCCTAAAAGCACTCTACTAGCGTGTCGGCTGAGTTTGCCCAAGGATGCAGACCTCCCCAAGCTGGTCCCCAAGTTCATGCAGACTTTGATGCCGCTGCCTCACCGAAGTGGCAACACACCGATTTCGATGACGAGACACGAGCTGTGGACCAGGAACAACAGCGGCCAGTCCTGCAATGCACTGAGCCGGATGCTGGTTCCGCGAAGTCGTCCGGACCCCAAACGGCCGCACTGCTCGAGCTGGTGCAACGAGACCGTGACTGAAGGTTACGACGAGGCTGTGGGGATTGCGAAGCAGGCCCATGCAGCGAACACCTCGGGCTCCAGAAGCGTGACTTGACACATCAGGTTGCGGAGCAGACCACGGTCAGCTTTGCACAGGATGACAAGGCTCCCAGCTCAGACTACTTGCGACCCGCGCAGTTGTAGCCGGGCATTGAGCGAAAAATCGGAAGCTAGGATGGTTAAGAGCGACTTCGCTGATGAGTGCGAATTGTTCGGTAACTCTCCTAGCTGTCAGGATAAGATCTTGTTGTATAAAACACGGAGTGTGTGCAGGGAACTGTCCGCCGATCGGCGCATATGCCGCAGCTGCTGCTGGCATTGCGTCGCCCGACGATTTCAGAGCTTGTCTAGATCGCTTCGTCGGCGCTATGGCTTCGTCCCGCGTCGAGCTTGCCGCGGCGTTGGAGGTGGTCCGCTTGGCGGTGGCCGACGGTGACGATCTGGCCCCACTCTTCCGTGTTTGGAGTGGGCTCGAGCGGCAGGCGATCACCAAGGCCATTGCCAGTTCGGCGGTGACGGCGGAGGCTATGCCCTCGACGGAGCCTACGGGATCTTCGTCTGGGATCATCGCCCCGAGCCCCTCACGTCATCGAACGGCGCCAACAAGATGGGCACATCGGGCAGTCGGCGGCCAGGCCAAGCCGTCAGCACCGCCACCTTCGGCGGTCCAGGCGGGGGGCGTTTTTTTTTGTTGTCTTTTGCTCTTGTTTTCCCGTTCTACCTTTCTGCTTCTCTGCTTTTCCGCTTCTCTGCTTTGCTTCGCTGTTCCTCCGCTTATCTGCTTTTCCGCTGTTCTTTGTGCCTTATGTGTGGTTGCTTCTCGCTGTCTGCCCGTTCCTGCAAGCATCTCGGCTCATCTGAAGGAGAGCCTGAGTGGTGAAAGGGCCACTCGTAGTGGCTTGTGGTTTTTGTTGATTTCTCTGGGGCTGGGGCTCGGGTTTGTTCGTTCGGAGACCTGCGCTATGCACCCATGGTTGAAGCTGCTGCCATGATTGCTTGTTCGCTGCATGGGTGCAACAACATACCAAAATTTGCCACGTGGTGGAAGTGGCCTGATCTCCTGCATAAGCAAGTGGCTGACTTAGCCATGGAATTCTTGTGTGCTTGCTTTGGAAACCATTTATGGCATTTCATGGATAGATACTTCCGTGATTTCTGCAGCATTTGGCTATGCAGCTGTATACTGCCTCCTTCCGTGGCTGATTCTTTGGATGACTTGCCGGCATGTGTACGAACTGCTTTGGCTAAGGCGAAGTCTCCTCTGCGTGCTCCACTGGATCCTGATTCCCCATCTTTGCCTGTCCACTCATCTGCTGGTCCAAATGTTCCTTGACCAGTGGCGCATCCTGGTCTTCGGGGTCAAAGGCAGGCCCACCTCCAATTCTGTCACTCCCCCCAAAAGGTCTCCGCTGCCAACAGGAATGAACCTGCTCCGCGACGACGCTGCCGCTCCCTGCTCATTGGACCTGGATGACAGCGACTTCATGCCCTAGCTTGTTTTCTGGCAGTGATTTTGGGCATGAACATGTACAAGGGGCTAGCCAGTCAGAGCCGTTGCAGGGTCAAGCTGCAGATGGCCTCCGACCACCGCGAATTGCAAAATGGGCGCTGCATGGCCTACTGTCGGTTTGCCTGAATTACCTGTTCCAGCTGCTCTCGCACTACAGCTGCCAGGTCCTCTATGCCCTGTTGGTGCCCTTCCCGTTCGATGCCACCCCTAGATTCCAATGTCACGCCTCACCAACACCTTGGGCAGAGCGACAACTTGTTTCTTTTGATGATACCTCAGACTGTCCAGCCACTACGAAGCCCCCGACGATCACCAGAAGAAGCCGCGTGGGTCCCAAGTCCCACGGCTGTAGCACTGTAGCTGCTTGTTTACATGCATCCAGTCATGTTCTGTTTTCTGGTTTCTCATACGACTACTTTGTGTTTACCGCCGACAGAGCGGCAACAGCAGTTGCGAGGGCTGCGCCCGATGTTCAGATGGGTGCTGGAACCTCAGGCTCCACCTGGGGTGAAGTTTTGGGACAAACCACGTCTTTGCTAGGGCCATACGTCGTGCTTCACAGGCAGCGGGCGGCAGCACAACTTACAGGGGCCGCCGTGTTGTGCTCCTATACCAACGGCACCGCGCCGTGCGGCTGCAGGCGATCCCACGTCCAGATGCTCTACCCGAGCCCGTCTGCGAATGATCATACTGAACGTCGAGAGCCTGGATTCGGTCACCTGTGCAGTGGATGCCCCGGGCCCCGTACGACGTCATCTGTCCTGAAGAAGTACATCATGGGCTTGTGGAATCCACACAGTGGGCCTCAGCGGGATGGCGTTTCGTTACGTGAACAGGAGTTGACTCCAAAACACGTTTCCAAGAAGTCGCTGTTCTGGCCCGCGAAACCCTCTGATGCACTTTGGAGGCTGACAGCAACAATCTCGTGCGGAGGCATAGAGTACTGGGATAAGCTGGGCTCACTGCTACACTCGCTGCCGCTGCGTAACATGCTGACTGTCCCGGGCAAGCTCCCCGTGTGGAGCACGCCTATGCCACAGCCAGCTGCTACCCCGACGCGGGGGAGCTCGCATCTCTTTTGGGGGCACATAGCTTGATATTACCCAACGGTACGGTTGGGTTCGACAGAGCTCCCAGTATACCTTCATTGGGGCTAAGCACAAATCTGTCATGGATCTTGTCATCGCCCGTAGGCAGCCTGCGGATGGTATGGCCAGGCGAGCCAGACCCCTGCCCAAGATAAATTTCAGCCCCTGGCGTTTTGGCTTTTGCAGCGCATTACGGTGGGCAGGTGCAAGGGAAGCACTAGCAGAAGCTATACTCGACCTCCATTCTGTATGCAAGTACATCATCCAGCATAACAGGGGAGCGCCGCTTTTGTGCACACGAGACGAGTCGTACGACAGGCGTGTACCCTTGCACCCCTGCTGTGGGTCATCTTTAGCACGTACATGACGCAACAGCTCACGTTGCACTTGCCAGGAGCTTGGATACGAGATCATTCAGCTCTTCTCGTGGATGACACGCACGCCAGTTTCGTCACACACAACATCTCGAACGTCAACTTTGCCTTCAAAGCTATCCATGTTATTCTCGAGGTTTATAGAGCTCATGGCATGAAGGTTAATCCCAGCAAGTCCGAGGTGGTTTTGGGAGTGCGCGGCAAAGCAAGCAAGGAGTTTTGGCATCAGCATTTGCAGGGCTCAGCTGACAAGTGCTGTTTGGTCATCGGCATTGGGGCAATAGGCAGGACCACGGCGCTGCCCATTGTTTATTTGGGGGTCGTTGCGTATGGCAACTTTGAACAAGAGACCCTGAATCATAGTTTGAAGATTGCCCAAACTACCAGCTGTCGCCTGGCCAAAGTCCTTAGTGCGCGAAAATGTCTGACGCAGCAGCAGCGACTGCAGCATTATGCGTTTTGTGATGCTTTGTGTGCACTCCGCAGCTCTATGGCCTGGCCCCGATTGGGTTGAGCAGCGCTTTTTTCCAAGTGAAGAAGGTAACATGCCGGTATGTCGGCATTGCAGAGCCAAGCTCAGTAATTGGCACATCGTTAGAGTGCACATCAAGAACAGCTGCCCAGTCCAGTCCTGCGTGCTGATGTAGCAAGCCTCAATCCTGAGTTTAATGAGCAGTCCGCGGCGGGGCTCGGAGAAAGAGGGTGACACTGTTACCTTTGTTCCCATTGCCGAAAGAGCAGATGTGACCTAGTTCATTACTTCCAGCAACTGGACAATTGTCTTGCAAACTTGCAATTGGATGGAGTCCGTGAGCAGCTGTTCAATCATTGTGTTCATGGTGCACAGTGAATTTCGTCAGTGCCGGGAGCTCGAACAGACATGTGCTATCCCTACATCGGGAGCTTGCTCGACTCAAAGCAGACGCTGTGGCCCAAAGCTTGACCGTACGGGAGGGACAACAACGTCCTGGTGGTGCCTGCGGAGCGAGACCAATACACAATACCAAGCATTGCTGTCGTGCCTACACCAACTGCGTTTGCTGCGTCAGCCTCGCTTTGAAAGTCCTTGGTGGTCCTCCGGACCCAAAATAGATCTCACCGGAGCCTAAGCCTTTGCAGAGATGCAGGAAATGTTTCCCCACCTGCGGCAGAAAGAGACTTTGGGAGCAGCGGCCCCGGATGCCGAGATGCCACCTGCCTCGACCTTGGGTCGCAGAGATCGGGAGGAGGATCAAGACGACCCGAGACACCCGGACAAGTTCCGAAGGCCAGCGGTGGAATTAAATGACGAAAATATTACCTTAACAAGGGACAGTCCGCTCCGACAGAGAAAAGCCTGCAGAAGGAAACGCCGTGCTCCCAGACAGCTGCCCCCCTCACTTCGGGGCCTTCAGCTCCCGCAGCGCGGGCGAACAAGCCGAACAGGTACAATTGGCAGGCCCGAACACAAGGAGGGCTGGACCCGGAGAAGAGTTACAGAGGAGGCGAGGCAGCCGGTGCCGCACGAAGACGGACTTCATCCTCTGTTCGCAATGATGACGGTGGATTGGAAAAAGAAGCAGGAGGTAGAAGCAGGAGGAAGGCGAGGGCAAAAAATCCTTACGGTTTACTTTGTTCGCGGACTCGATCGACAGTCTGGCTCATCAGATGGGAACCCGGCGTGGGCCTACCTTCAATCGGCGTGGCCACGGACAAGGCCGGACATCGCGCCCCGAAATCTCCCCAGCGTGGGAGCTCTGGGAACTGTTATGAGATTCCACAGCACGAGGAAACTGGTGGAGCAACATCAATCGGCGGTGACTTTCTTCTTGGGAATAGGCCTACGCGGGTCACTGGCTTGCTACCGCGCTCTGCAGCAGCTGTGCTTCAACACCAGCACGCAGCTGATCAAGATGAGAGTGAAGCGGGTCAAAATGGAGCGCCAGCCTCTTGTGAAGGTACTCCAGGACTCCCTCCAGGACGGAAAACAGCGGGTCAGTTTTCTGGCCATGATGCAGCAGCGGTGGAGCAAGGGAAAGGGCAAAGGCAAGGGCAAAGGTCAGAAGGGGCAACCGCACAGGGACAAAGAAGGAGCGGCCCGAGCGATCCCCTGAGTGCGGCGGCGGCGCAGTCCGCCGGCAAATGATGGCCATG